GATGCCTCTGTAACCCCTCCGTGAATTTCCATAATCTCACCCATTAAATTATCGCCACGTTAAGTTATTGTAAATAGGGCACCATCCTTGCTTTCAGCAACGAGCAATAAAGTGAAGAAGAATTTCTTTCACAAAAAGAAAAAAATAGTGAAGAAGAATTTCCGTTTGTTTTCTCCTCGTCTTACTTGACTTATGAGCAATTTCTTTTTATATTCTCATTGTTCAATGTAGCAAATGGACCTAACCTTTCAATTCATTTGGATAAAGAGAAAAATAGGGATGGAAGAAAATTAGAAGGAAAAAATTTTAAAAATAGTATAAAAAATTTACTACTTTTTGAAATTTCTCCTCCTATCTAGTTTTCTTCCCTCGATAATTTTTTCTCATTTTTCCTTCCATTCAACCCAAGCCTAAGGATTAAGCAAAGAGTAGTGGCAACATGCTTGATAGAGACTCGACATACGTAAGGCCCTGTCATTTTCATCTTTATTGTCTTTGATAATGCTCAACATTGGAATTTAAATTTCACAACTTTTAACTAATATATATAGGAGATCCTGGCATCTAGTGAAAAGGGTTGATCATTTGATGAATTAATATTTAAATTTTTATTGGGAGATGTATCAATATTATATTTAGTGCGCTTGAAAAATTCACAACTCTTCTGTTTATATCAACTGTAGAGATCCATTTGTGAGCTTGAAATTTCAAATTGTATGGAAATATAGTTGAAGATTATATACTCCACAATAAATAAAAATAATAGTATTGCAAATAATTTTTTAGAGACTTAGCAGTTATTAAATTAATCATATGAGACTGATCAACAATCACTCTCCCTTTCTTCGCTGTTGTTAGCTTTGATTGAATCCAAAAGGAAATTAGGCCAAGTTGTTTCTTTTATTTCTGTCTTTAGACTCCTCTTATATTTTCACAAATTCATGGACTTACTTGTAAATAAGTTTTTTATATGGGACCTATTTGTAATTTTTTTAATTAATAGAATGATGCTTTAAAGAAATAAGGTCACACTTTTGCCTCAAAAATAGTACGCATGCAATTCAAGCTAGCCAACCATTAGGAAGCAAGAAAATTGTAGAATCCAATCTGCCATGAACATGCATGGAGATATCACCACACACTAGCTGTAATAAAGATAGAACTTCAGGAAAGATAACAAATATGAGATCGCCATAGTGAAATTACTAATTAATCTATCTATTTTTTCATTTTCATTTTTATTTTGTGAAATTTGATTAACAAAAGCAATCAGGGGAACCAGATACTTTTGAAGTAACTTGTATAAATAAGCTAAGTGTGACCCATCATCATCGTCATAATACAAAAGTGTACAATATTTGATCCATTAACTTTGTACAAAATTGATCAGTTCTCTAATTTTATTCAGGTAAGAAAAAGTTTCCTCATTAGTTTAAATGTAAATGAAAAATGCAAGACCAAAGCGTGTGATGCCCACATTTTTTTCTTTTTTGTCGGAAAGTGAAATGGAATAACAGCGCAGTGCTCAACATCGTGGGCATGGATAGTAGCGGATGATATGGTGAAGAGAATTATTATTGGCATGTTATATCACGACTCTCAATTATTATTATTATTATTATTATGTGGCCTATTTCTATTATTTAAAATCTGTATGTTGAAGTAAAACAAATCAAAGTCATCTCACTACGTCCTTTCCACGTCGAATTTCCATCAACGAGGAGTAAAATTATTTCTTTATTTGCTTCTTTTGTGGGACCTGGGGGCATTGTCTAGTATATATTGTCCAATTATAGTAAAATTCCAAAATTAGATATGAATTAACATGTTTTTACACCATCTTTAAACAGAGTTGCATCTACTTCCAATGCTTTAACAAAAAGCTATTTCATGGGTTATTATCACAAGTACTTGTTCGGTTCCTTTGGTGCAAGATATTACCAATCTAGCTACTCTACTAGCTCTTTTCCGTTTTTGTGGGTAGATCCCGTGAGATATTTTGGCACTATAAAACTAAGAGATTTCACAAGTTTTGTTTGGTTCTCTTTCAAGAAGGGGGGGAACTAAATCGAATCAATCCGTTTCAATAAATCTACTTTATTCTAAATATAACTTTATACGCACACACAAAAATAAAACTTAAGATGAATTGGTTTTCAGATGTTCATCAGGGCCTGAATGTACTTCTAGTTATAGGTTCAAAGATCACTTAGAAATACTTACATATCACCCATTAATTAGGTCTTTACATTGATAATGGGATTCAAACCTATTGTGGCATGTAAGTATAGTTTTTGCTTGTAAAAATAAAAATATTTGTGCTAACTCAGACATGCATGTAAATTTATGTGCTATTTTTGCCAAATGAAAATTGTTATTAATGAAATCGTAAAATCACAACAACAAATCATTTTAGATTAAAAATAAATATATTTTAGTGGAAAAAACTAGGAAAAATAACAATTAAAGATTCCCTAAGGATATTAATCTCAATTAACGATCATAAAATTTTTAAATTTCAATTAAAGACCATAGTCCTTAATTGAGATAAAAAAATGTAGTTTTTCTTAAAGGCCCCTAAGAAGAAAAACCAAATTATGTTATTTTCATAATATACGTTATCAATTTTTTCATGTCGAGTTAGTAAATTTTTAAGTGACATTAGTGAATCCCACATCACATTAGTGGATCTCAACTTGGACAAATCAATTTTTGTTAAACAATTGATTTTCAAGTAGGGTTTTATTTTTTCATAACATATATTAAAAAAATTTTAAGTTGGGTTAGTAAATTCTCAAGTAACGCTTTTTGTTAAATAATTGATTCTCAAGTAGGGTTTCATATTTTTATAATATATGTTAGAAATTTTTTCAAGTCAAGTTAGTGAATTTTCAAGTGGTGCTTTTTGTTAAACAATCAATTCTCAAATGAGGTTTCATGTTTTTAAAATATATATTAGAAATTTTTTCAAGTTAAGTTAGTAAATTTTCAAATGGTATTTTTTGTTAAGCAATCTATTCCAAAGTAAGATTTCATATTTTTAAAATATACATTAGTAATTTTTTTAAGTTGAGTTAGTGAATTCTCAAGTGATGTTAATAAATCCCACCTCATGTTAGTGAATCTCAAGGGTATTTAAAATAAACTATATTTTTTTTAATCCCAAAGTACTTAATTGAGATTTCAAAATGTTATGATCCTTAATTTAAATTAATATCTTTAGGAGGTCCTTAATTATCATTTTCAAAAAACAATGATGGGATACAGGATTAATTGGATGTAATAATTTTATTTTTTAGAATAATTTAGAATTTAATTTGAATAAATGTAATCTCTTAAATTAATAGGTTATTTTTTGAATGATTTTAGAATAATTGTATTTAGTTTTTCTAATTAATAAATCACATTTTTTACCAATATGCCCCTATTTTATTTATTTCAAAATATTTAATGGAACATCTTTTATGTTGTTAAAAATTGAACTCAAATGTATATTTTGAAAATACAAGATTTTTTGGCTAAATATGAAAAAATTTGTATTTCAAGGAAGGACTTGCACAGGCCCAAGCCTGGATATCGATTGGGCTCAATTCGAAACAAAAGTCATTCTTAAGAGTGCTGTTGGGCTGCGTTCCATTAAACAATCCGCTAATTCTGGTCCATGTTCCTTCATTGAACTCTCAAAACTTTTTCCTACCAAAAAAAAAAACTCTCAAAAACCTTGTACCAAAAAAACCAACACTCTCAAAACTAAGAAGTCAACTTTTTTCTTGTCAAAACCACTAATCATGAAAACTGTGCTTTGAAGGTTAATTAATCTTTAGTTTAAATTGAAAATTATAATTGTAATTTATTTCCTTATTAATCCCATGTATTAGTTTATATATGTATAAATAAAGGCGTTTACAACAGAAAAAATAAAATCGACTCAAACTAATTAGTTCACCAAAGGTTGAACCTATTTAATTTTTTTAAAATTAGTTTGGTTTGATTTTTGAGAGATTTAATTTGATTTTTGAGCCAATAAATGTTTTACTCATAATCATTATGTGCTGGTTTTTCGTTCATTGATTCAAAGTTAAAACCTCATGCTTAAATTATCATAAATTTATTTTACCAGGACCAATGTTGATATTTTCTTTTAATTGTATTCATGGGTAAGTAATAAAAAATATTATTTGATTAAAACTGATTTAACTACAATCCAATCCCTACTCAACCAATGAACAAGTGCCTTATTTGTTACCATTCAAAAAGGGGAAAACAGCAATAAATTTTTTAAAATACATAAATAATAATTTAATCCCTTAAAATGTCATAATTTTTTTAAATTTTTTAAAAACTTTTCTATCATTAATAAGTTTATATAAATTATTTAATTGTTCTTATTAAAATAAATTATTTACAACTTTCTTCTTATATTCGTAACTCTTTTTTTTAAAATTCACAATAATATAACAGCAAATCACAACTTTCATATGTTAAATTTTTATTTACTATTGCATTATTGTGAATATAAAAAAAAGTTGATATAAAAAGGAAAGTTATGAATTATTTATTTTTAATAAGAGAAATTTGATAATTTATATAAATTTATTAATGATAGAAAAATCTCTAAAAATTTTAAAAAAATTATGACATTTTAAGGGACCATATTATCATTTATATATTTTAGACGATTTTGTTATTATTTTTTCTTACAAAAAATGAAGGAAAAAAGGTGAGACAAAATTGCACTCAATGACCTATGAAAAAAATTATTCGTAGATAAGACAAATCACTGTTGAAAAAATAATTTAATATTTTATTTTAATAATAATTCATTTTACAATGGTTGTTGTCTGTGAGATTCTTTTTTTTTTTTTTTGATACAATGTCTGTTAGTTTTTTGAAACAATTTTTTTTAACATAAAATCGTGTGGCGAAATCAGAACCGTACACGTGTCTTCATTAATTCCAAAAATGTAATTGTTAGTTTCTTTAGACAAGCAGCTTGAAGATTCACAAAATATTCTCCTTCCCTTGTATCCATTTTCGCAGGTTGAGGCGCTGAGCATGGAGAAGGCCAGTGGGGAAGTCAAGGAAGAATTCAAGGCCCCAAGCGATGGTTCTATTTGTGGATTTGATTCCCTCCATCGTCTTCTTAGAGAAAATCTCAAGCCCCAGCTGTTTCAGGTACTTTCATTTTGGAGTCATCTTTTATTTCCTTTGGGTTTCATTTTTAGAGTCACTTTTCTTTTTCTTTTTCTTTTTCTTTGTCACTAAACTCTGCTGAATTTGAAATGAGGATCCTTGCGTTCACGTCTTCGTTTTTTCTTTTTTATGGCGATTTCTGAGGTCAACGTTTTTCACTTTCAGCTGGCTGATGCTGTTTTTAGTTGAGCACGTTCATGTCACCTATTAGTTTGGATTGGGATTTTTCTATTTTCCTTCACATAATATATTGAGATTTAAGTTGCTTTTGAAATGCATAATAGTGTTCCTTGCCTTGTTGATAATTTCTGCCGTTCATTTCTTATGCGATTGTGTGAATAATCAGAGCATCAATTTTTCGAATGAATTTTTATGAAGTGTTGCGTTTCAGATGGTGATACAGATATGTTCCTAAAGCAGAGAAGACTTTAAGAATTGGATTTTTATTCTAAAAGGGAGAAAAAAGTTGTTCAAAGGTTCAGTGCTTTGTTTTGATTGGGCGGCATCCTGATCAGCTTACTCAGTTTTAGTGACAATGTGACATGAGTTTTAGCCTGTTACTATGGGTTTGGTTCTGCAAATATCTTAGCTTTTCTAGGGAGAAAATGGTTGCAAATGGTAGTTTAGCATGAGGATTCTGTGAGTAATTATCATCAAATTCTGGCGACTATAATTGATACTGTGCCCAGAGCAAAGATGGAAACTTTAAAGAGGCATTACTGTTTTACTACTGTCTGTAGCCTTGTCAAGAATAGGGGTTGATTGAGTTGCTTCAATGACCATCAAAATGTGTGGTCAGTGGTCTGCATTTTTGCTAGAAGATTCAGTTTTATGATTTTATCGCAGAACAAGAGCGAAAAGAGGATCCTAGGCATAGCTGATGGGCTGTACTTTTATCCTTAGAATTGTAAGTAAACGCCTGTTCATCTGCAAAGACCAAGTTTCGTCCATTGCTTATTGACTTATTGTGTTGGTTAATTAGCAATCCCAAACAGCAATCAAATTTCCTTCCTTGTTACACGAGTTTTGCATGCTGAACTCTTTCACAAGCCACTATCGGTATAATCATCTTATTATAATAAGCTCTTTCTACTTAGTAGATTGGTCATAGATCTGTCTTCAAGTTCTTATATCAAAATGGGACCAATAGTCAGTGGAGCATTTCTCGTTGGCGTCTACTTGCCAAATTTTCTAGTCATTGAAAGAATATCAGGGATGTATAAAATTTGTTGAGATTTGTTGCCTATAAATTCCTTGAGTGCTTTTAAGCGATATAAACAATGTTGCTTGTTTAATTCTGAAATCTGTTAAACTTCAGAATGATTTTTATCATTCCTTTGATTATTAACTTACTTTATTAATCATATATTGATGTATTGTCTTTTCTGATGGTGTAGTTAGCGTATTATTGCAGGAAGTTAGCCGCTTGCTTCTGGGGCTTAATTGTGGAAGAGCACTTGCTTCCATCACTCTCCTGAATCTGCTGCAGCTCTCTCTCTGGAACATGGATTTGACCTCCAAGTAAGAAATATGAATAAAACCCTATTCTCCTATTTAAATACTTGAATTTTATATATGTATAAATTGCTATGCATATTTTATGGTGGGACTCATATCTTTTACTTGTGAAACAAATCAATACAACATCAGGACACCTTAAGATTACCTCCGCCATGGGATTTATTAGCATTTTCGTTTCTTTCCGAGCAGTCAGTTATATCTCTGTGAATTTAGACTGGCATTTGCTCCTGCTTATTTTTTATTTGGTAGAAAAACATGTTTTCTTTTCTTTTTTTTAATTTTTTAAATTGATAATATGACAAAATTTTCATCTTATGCTTTAGAATAAGATAAAATTTCAGTGTTGTCTAGGAGGAAGTGAAATGACTACCCTTATGAGTCTTCTGCAAAATCCAAACCCTGAAAAGCTTGGGTATCCATGGTTAAGTGAAATTGGAATGAACAAAATAAGCAATATCTCCTGACATATATCCATTGCTTTGCTTGTTTTGGTGTTTTCCCCATTCTTCAACCTATCACCTTCCCTTTCAGTGCTTAGTTCCCCAACACACCCCTGAATCATAGCATCATCAGTGCTAATCAATTCAACCCTCGTCTCCAGATTTTGCAACTCTACCCTTCATCCTTGATGCTACTGTGCTCAACTTCAAAGTAGCTCTAATGCAAAAACTTCTGGGAATTAAGACAAAAATGAAGGAAAAGGCTGTGATATATATTATATATTAACCAATGTCTTAGTTTGCCGGCACGTTGCAAGAATGAAGGTCAAAATTCATAGAAGTCATGACTACACAGTCGCTCAGCTTAAGAAGACACATGGGGAAAACAAGAAATCACACCCAGACCTCACACCCTAGCATTTGATAGGCTTGTGCCCTCCATTACCATGGGTTACATAGAACTGTAAAATTTTCTTCTGTGCTCTGCCAAGAACCGACCATGACTGTTGATTTGTCGCCACCCATATTCTGCCATGTCCAGATTTATGTGATTTATTTAAACTAGGTTAAGAAATAGGTGTAGGTGATGTTGGAAAATTAAATTTTATGGGTGCTCACTGTTATAATCTTTCGATATTTGCAAGCTTGAATGAAAAAAAACAAAATGTGGACGACAAATTTGGATTGCACAGTCAAATATTTTCCATTGTTCATACAAAAGAAATATTGGGAGGAAGAAAACAAGATTCATTTATCCATAAAATAAATTACCGTCTCCTAGTCACATGTTACGATTATTCTTTCCAACATTTGTATGTTTGAATGAAAATATCAACTATGTGAAATAAGACCCCAAAAAAATCATACATACATAACACACACATGCATGCATGCAATTGTATATGTACATGGATGCAGGAAAAGTGTTTACCTGTGAATGAATTGAGGTTCAAGAGTAGTTCATTTAAATGTGTGCAATTACTTATTGATTTTGGAATGTCTGCTTTTAATTGATTCCCATTCACCTCGATGCCTTCTATTAAACGAAGTTGGCGGCGCATCTCTTTTGGCAAATTGCCATATAAATTATTGAAGCCAATGGCAAATCTTCTCAAAGAAGACATGTTATAAAGAAATAGAGGAATTTCACCTGTAAAGAAAAACAAAAGAAAATCAATTCAAGACTTGACATATGTCCTTGCATGTTTGCAAAATATTTAGGACTGAATATTTTTCTCTATCCTGTAATTTGCAAAAAATGCTTAGTGTAACATCTTTTGTTCAGTCAACATATCAAGTAATCAATCATATCAATATGAAAAAATTTTCAGTTATATATAAGATATAACTGAACATTGATTAACAAATTTATATCTTCTAAAGTTGAGATTCTGAATTTATGTAAGATTTTTTAGTATTTTCTCTTGTTTTATCATTATTTTTATAAAACATAAATTTTTTCCTCTTTCGTAAATGACAAACTTCATGAAATTCACATTTCTCAACTTTAAAGGATTCACTCTCTTGATTAACAGATCATTGAAATAATTTAAAATCATACCTTCCAAGTTGCTGTGTAAAGATGTAAGAATTGGAGGTTGGTCAAATTTTCAATGTCACTTGGTACGAATCCTCTTTTGAATTTGTTCTCACTTAATTTCAACCAATGCTTTGCATTGATGCCAAATTGAGGGTATTTCACCTGACAAATCATTTAGATACACAAAAGCTTTCAAGTTTTGGAAGCCCGAAACATATATTTTTTGGGAGTCTACCAGACAAATGATTTTCATTAAGTTCAATATTTTGCAACATTGAACTATTGAATATTGAAGATGGTGTAGAACCAGAAAGCTGATTGTTTGAAAGATACATTGTCTGTAATAGTGGAAGGTTGCCAATTTCACTGGGAATGCCTCCTAAGATGTAAAAAAACAACAATATGTCAGTATCAGCTTTATAGCATGCATATGATTAAGTCTAAGCATCATGAGTTAATATATATGGGTAAAACTCATGTATTTTATGTCATAAGACTTGCTCATTTTGAAAAACAAACTTCAATAAATTTTAGAAGGGAAAATGATTTAGGTTTCAAAATAAAAATTTGGCAATAATTAAATTCCAAAATTTTTGTTAATGAATTAAAAATATCGATTCAAACAATTATAAATACAGGGGTTTTATATTGCAATTAAAGAGGGATCATATCATGCTTGCCGAATAAACTTGTCTAGAGCAAAAATAAATTATTTCAAGGATGACCAGCCAACAATTCAAAACTGATTGGTCAACTAACAAATAAACGCCCCATTCTTTTCACTTACTTAATTCTAAATCTACTAATTCTTTGCATGGATTCCAATAATTGAGGGCAAGGCACCTCACAAATAAATTTTATACAATAAAAACTTTTGAGTTTGAGGAGCCCGAAAACATATATATTTTTTTGGCAGACTACCAGCATGAAGTTTAATATTTTGTAACATGACCTATTGAATATTGAAGATATAGAAATTAAAGCCAATTGGTTTGATAGATATATTGTCTGCAGTTGGGGAATGCTACCACAAAAAACATGTTTTTAAACCAACGTTTTACATCGGTTAAAAAAATCAATGTAAGAAGTATGTGTATGCAATGACATCTTTGTAAATAAATTTCAATAACATTGGACTATTTTTAAGCAAGTTGAAATAACAACTAGTGCAAAAACTTAAACAATTAAATATTCTTTTTTACGCACCACCTTCCACACCGACTACTATTATAACCGTATATCAGCTATGTATTTGCGTATTGGTTTATGTTTTGTGTATGTGATTCTTTCGATAATGTACTTCATCATGTGATTTGTTGTAATTTCTAGTTGATTTGTGTATAGGTTTTGTTCTCTGTATAGTGTTCTTTAATTTTTTGTTTCTTACCCAATCTGAAATCCATGGCTAAGGATGAAATATAACCTTTCACGATCTGTTTTATTGTAAAAAAAAGTTTTATAACTTTTAACACAACTTATGTTGTCAACTAGTGTCATTACTATAGAAAATATTTTTTACATCAGTTTATTTTAAATTTTTAACCTCGTTATTGGGGAAAGTAAAAAGAAGTAAAGTGGAAAGTTAACCTCCCATGTTAGTTAATAATATAACCGACATGGAAAATACTTTCACATCGGTAATATAACTGACATGGAAAGTCATGTTGGTTAATCTAAATTACCGGTGTAAAATGTTATCTTTAACCAGCACTAAGGCTTCTCTATCTAGACAGTCTAGTAGAAGGTTCCCAATATTACTTAGAATGGCTTCTTAGAATATTAAAATTAAACAAATAAACACAATTGGTCAGTATCAAACATGATAGCATGTTTATTAGTTAACTTTAAAGCATCATATATTGTTAATGTGTACTTGAGAAAAACTTATGTATTTTATGTCCTATGAGAGTTATTATTGGAAAAAAAAAAATTCAACATGTTTCTCAAATGGTGTGACTTTCTTATTGGTTGGCTAATGTTTTGAAGACGAGGTGGTAGTTCTGTTTTCAATACATATGTGATAAAGGAAAAAATATGTTAGCTATTATAGTTTTGGATGAGATTTATTGAGAAATTTAGATAACTTTTTCTTTTTTTTCCCAAGAAAAAAACGAGTTGCCTAAAATGGAAAGAAAATAATTTTTTTCCCTTCTTAGAGCCTTATATCTTGATAATCAAATGGAACTGGCAAGGAAAAGACAAATAAAGATCTTGGAAATCATCGAGACATAGTTGACAAAGTATTATAAGATAAACTCAAGGACTCAAGTGAAGATAAATTAGAAATTGTCTGAGGTATGATTCCAGAGAGCTTGTTCTTCCCAAATCCTAAAAACTTCAAGTACTTGAGTCTTCCAATATCAATTGGAATGTTCCCCTCGATGAGTTATTAGCTCTCAAATCCAAAGCCTCCAATTTTGACAAGTTGCATATGGATAATGGAATCAATCCATAAAGACTATTATTGCAAAGACTCAAACATTGTAGTATTGACAAATCTATCCATGTTGGAACTTCTTCATCAAATTCATTGTAGCTTAAGTCGAGCATTTTTAGCCTTCACAATTGACCGAACTCTTTTGGTTTGTGACCGTGAAGTCTATTGTTTTCAAGGTCAAGTTCAACAAGAAATAGATAGATTTCCTAACTGTGGAGATATGATGCCCCTAAGATCCATGCCATTAAGATTCAATGAATGGACCCTTCCATGACGAGTATTACAAGTGACCCCAACCCAATTACATGGAGAAGAAGAGGTAGACCAATTAGCTAAAAAACCATGTCGATCCAAGAAGATATAAGATTTGAGAGCAAGAAGTGAAGATTTGTCGGTGGTGATATTTGTCTCACACCAAACTATGGAGACCATGAAACAATGAAGTAAGAAGATGAAGACAAAGGATGTGGGTTTTTTCATGCTTAGCATATCAAAGTAATTAAAATTGCAAGTATTGAGAATCTAGCTAGGAATACCCACATCTCATTTACACCCCCTAGATTGAAATCGAGTGAAAGACGTG